GCATGTGAACTCTCTACCCTATATATGTAAACCATTATAATGGTAAAACAGGAAAATATACGTTTTTTTTAAAATAATTAAATTTACCTGTTCGTTGTTGAATTTCCTAAGTGCATACATGTATCTGTCCATGTAGCAACAAATCTCTCCTTATATGTATCCAACCAAAAAGATGTGACATATTGAAGTGCCTCTGCATAAAAGGCGAACTCATTTTGTAGCAATACGAGTCGTTGTATGTACACTTCTTCAAAAGATGACATAACCAACATATTCCAACTTGTTATAACATATCCCATTTCTCCTTCCTCTCAAACAATTTTTTGTATTTGGCCAACACATTTTTATTAATATGCCATCTACATAACAAACTTGTAAGTTGTGGAAATATCGTTGCAACAGCATTCATTAAACTCAATTCTCTGTCTGAAACAATAACATTGGGAAGACTTTTCCCATCCATCAAACTACGCAAAATACCAAGTGCCCATATATAAGTATCCTTCCTCTCATACTGGAGGTATGCAAAACCCACAGAGAAAGTCTTTTCAGTGGATGTTACTCCTACAATCTCTAAAAGTGGCAAACGATATCGATTGGTCTTATATGTACAATCCATTAGTAACACACGTAGGAATGCACGTAGCAAATCCAAACTAACTGCATGTGCAAAGAACAAATCGGTAACAGTCTCAGTATCTTTACAGTTCCTATGCCATTCTATGTATTTGTTCATGACTGAAAACTCCCTTGACTTGATCCAAGATATCTCTTAAGCTTTGCATGTGAACTCTCTACCCCTATATATGTAAACCATTACGATGGTAAAACAGGAAAATATACATTTTTTTTGAAAATAATTGAATTTACCTGTTCGTTGTTGAATTTCCCAAGTGCATACATGTATCTGTCCATGCAGCTACAAATCTCTCCTTATATGTATCCAACCAAGAAGATGTCACATATTGAAGTGCCTCTGCATTGCAATACGAGTCGTTGCATGTACACTTCTTCAGAAGCTGACATAACCAACATATTCCAACTTGTTATAAACATATCCCATTTCTCCTTCTTCTCAAACAATTTTTTGCATTTGGCCAACACATTTTTATTAATATGCCATCTACATAACAAATGATGTAGCTTGTGGAAATATTGTTGCAATAGCATTCATTAGACTCAATTCTCTGTTTGAAACAATAACATTGGGAAGACTATTCTCATCCATCAAACTATGCAAAATACCAAGTGCCCATGCATAATTATCCTCCCTCTCATACTGGAGGTCTGCAAAACCCACAGAGAAAATCTTTTCAGTGGATGTTACTCTTACAATCTCTAAAAGTGGCAAACGATATCGATTGGTCTTATATGTACAATCCATTAGTAACACAAGTGGGAATGCACGTAGCAAATCCAAACTAATTGGATGTGCAAAGAACAAATCGGTAACAGTCTCAGTATCTTTACAGTTCCTATGCCATTCTATGTATTTGTTCACCGCTAACTGACCCAATAGTAGCTGCATTTAAGATCTCCCAGCCTTCTCAAAAACTTTATGCCGTTGACATGCATTGTAGATTGTTTTCATTGTGGAAACATTTTCACTATTGCTTTGTTTAAGTGTGACTAATATCTCACTTGGTCGTACCATACTCTTCGACATATCAACCAACAAAGAAGTTTCCTCATGTGATAACCTCCCAACATAAGAATGACCTTCAAGACAAACCGCAGTAGGATGATTATGCACACCACATATCACGATCAATGTCCAATCATTGTTTGTATCTAATTTTTTAGCTTTTAACAGAAAAGGACAGTCACATTTTTTAGTACCGGTAAGCTTCAATTTTTTTTCCTTAGGTCTAGTGTTTTTCCTAGTGTCCCTATAACATCCACTCCTCTCACAAGCAAGAGTTAGTCTTGGTTTTTTACAATGAGTACCACCTGCATCTGATTTCTTCACAACAATAACCAAACCATTTCTCCTCCCAACAGCACGTGCCCACCGAATTAATTCATCTCGAGACTTGAATATCTAAAATTGAAAAAATAAAGTAATGATTTTGTTACCAATATACACATAAAGAAATAAATTAATGCACATTAACAATATATATTTGAAGAATATTCATATATAATTTTCAATACGTTCGTATATTACCTCGTGAGTCATAAATTCATTACTATAACCTATTATGAATTCTGAGCCAACTTTGCTGCTTCTATTTGATTCGCCATCATCCTAAAATAAATAACAACACAAATTAAATTTCAAAATTTGATCGGTAAAACAGGTCTGTACCTATGAATAATGTTCGGTTACATGATTCCGAACAAATAATAAATGTTCGGTTACCGGTTCCCAAACAATTAAACAATGTTCGAGCCTGTGTTCTCGAATTTCGGTCAAATGTTCGGGAGTTCGGTCCCAAAAAAATAACGAATAGATTTTATAATTTTTGTCATTTTTTTCAAGAAACTTACCCTTACAAGCCCAATTTCCTCTGAGTTAAGAACAACATCAAGGCTATGAATCTCCTTTGAGCTTTTATTGTCGTACTCCTCTCGTTTTATGGAGTTGTAGTTGCCTGAAAAACTTCCACTCATTGTTATTGTCGGAGGAGTTTAAGTAATCAAATGGTTGCCAAAGGGTTTTCAAGGCTTTCAGAGTGGGTAAGTTTTGAAAGTGGGATTTGGGGAAGATGAATGAGTGGTGATGGAGGTGGGTGTTCACATAAACCGTAATTCATGATATAATGGGTGTGTAGGTTTAATTGTAAAATGGGGTGTCCCAACATTAATGATGCATTTTTTAGTAATTTCATTTAAGGTTATTATTGTAATAAAAAAAAAAAAACTAAAAACTGGGGGGTCCAACGTAATTCTTGGGGTGCTAATAGCAGCACTCCTTTTTTTGGGGTGTGGGGTGTCCTTTCAATTGGGTGTAATGTTTAAGGATAATGTTGGTATTATTTGGGGGGTGTAAAGAAATTTCTAGGGTTTTCAGAATTATAAATGGGGTCAAAGAAATAGGGGGTCCAAATTAATTCTTGGGGTGCTAATAGCACCACTCTTTTTTTTAATTCTTATTTTCTATAGAGCACGAATATGGATGAGACACATGTTTGACACATTAAGTATTCGTCAGTTTGATAAATTCTATAAAAGCAGGTTGCCACTTCAATCTCACTATTTTCCTGTTCTCTAGGATGTTAACAAATTAATGAAAAACTATTCCTGGATTTATACTAACAATTATACTAATACTGTGCAAAAATTATTACAATCTCAAATTCATAATGGTTCAAATATATGACCTTGATTAAAAATATATATAATTTCTCAAGTATTAGATATGATTCTAATATCGGATGTTAATGTGAGAATCCAAAGAGTATCGGTATTTGATATATGTATGATATGGATATGACTGCTTTTAGAAGTATGTGTGCTTCATAGGTGTGGACTCTTTACATTAACAAAGGTGATTTTGTTCTAGGAGAAAAGGAGTGATGCAACATGGATAAATTTTCTTGGGGTACTTGGAGTTTTGGAAATGACCTATATGATTCATGATATAATAAAAGTTATTGGCTTCAGTGTTTGGACTGGTGGAACTGGACTCATGTTGCTGGAATCAATAGTTTTTTAGGCTTGGTTTCATAGAGCAAAAGTGAAAAAAGAAAAAGAAAAAAAGAACTCCTCTAATGATCAATTCCTTGTGCTCGTGGAGATCCTTCATTCCTTGGGCCTGAGAATCTCATCAGTATGCTGCAGATATAGTTGCCCATGCAGCAATCACTTCCTCCTAGAGTTGAATTGATAAACTTGGGGTCAAATCTCTTGAAATTCACTTGCTTGCTGTTGCTGACACTGCATTTGTACCAATTTCTCAAAAAATTCCCTTTGCTATTTGTTCCTTTTGTTTTTGTTTTTTTTTTTTAATTTTAAAATTTTTTAAATTTAGCAGTTGATCTTCTGATGCAGTCCATAATAGGAGCTAGGAGAACTAAAATTAAGGAAGCATTCATGTTTGGAAACTGTTTGGTTTCGAGCCGAATTCAATTGGGATCCATTGAAACCATCTATTATATTTCTAGTCTTAGAAGAGTATTTATGTTTATTTTTGGTTAAGAAAGTTGCTAATCAGTTTTTATGGTTAGGGGTATTTTGGTAATTTGCAGAATTTTTGGATATGGAATGTGCGCGTGCCCATGGTTTGGCTTGTGGGTTATGTTGTTTAATTGATTTTTATTTATGAGTTTTCTTTGGTCTTAGATAGGTTTTGGATGTCTAAAAGTTTAGTAGTTTCCTATTTTGGAATCCTAGTTAGTGAAGGAAGTCTCTTAAGTCTATATATAGTCATGTAATTTATCTAATTTATTAAAGTTGATATTTGAGAAAATTTCAGGAGTTTTGAAGCTTTCTTATAGATTGTGTGATACCTGTGGAATCTACATGCGATGCTTAGACTTTTCTTCTTTCTTTTCTTTTCAATTTACTGTTCATGAGGTACTATTCAAAGCTCTGGAACAGCCCTGTTTTGATCTCCTTTCCCCTGTTTTATCAACCCTAAACCTAGTTCATTCAATATGTTAATTAAAACCCTAAAATTCCCACTGATTTTCAGCCTTAACCAACAATAAAAAGCCACAGAAACTTAGTTCTAAAATCCTCACAGTGCTTTGCGACATCATCTTCATTCTGATAATTTTATTTGTAATTTGTTTGTTTGAAGGTATAGATTTAACTAATTAAGATTCTTTCACTTTTGCGAAATGTAATTATTAAACATAAGTTTGGAATAAAAAGTGCACCAAGCCACAATGATATAACACCGTTGGTGTGAGTCATAGAATGATGACTAGTGTCCTGGACATCTCAAGGAGCAATTACTATTTGTGTCTTCTAAATCATTTCTTTTTAAATTTCCCCTGAAGTTGTTATTGTGCTGCTTTGATATTCCCTAAGAATACCACATTTGCTATATCTAGAGAAACTTGGAGCAGCAGGGGAAGCAGTTGCTGATCTGAAATGACTATTTTCACTCGCTGAAAAGTTTGGATACTCTGAGTGGATTCAGTTTGATGCATCTGTTGTCCGTGGTCTAGCATATTATACCGGAACAGTATTTGAGGTTAGATTTGTAAATTCATTAAGTACTTCTTTTGCCTGGACAATTTGAAATTCCATATTAGAAAAAGGAGCTCAGATTGTGGTTCCCTTTAATGGATCTTTTACTAAATAAAAAAATAAAAAATAAATTTTGAATCTTGTTCCTGCTTATATTACACTCCCTTGTTAAATTGCGCCTGTCTTTATGCCATGATAGCTAGCGGAGGAGGCTGTTGTTGTTACGTGGCAGGCCACTTTTGGGGTGGTAATGAGATCTGGGCGACTGTGATACCGCCATGCATGACCAGACACAATTACTGAATTGTAGATAGGACTGGTATCCAAGAGTGGATATGGCAATTTTAACACACCAAGGATCCTCTAGAGTATTTTTTTCCTAAAGTTTCCTAAAGTGGTGTATTGTGTGGTTGAGATTTAATGCTGAAAAATTGATGTGACTTGTCATTAAATCTCAACCACACAATGCACTACTCTAGGAAACTTTAGGAAAAAAAAACTCTAGAGGATCCTTGCTCATTTTAACATGGTTATTGAAAAAGCCTGCAGATGATTATCTTGATTTTCTTGTATAAATGGTTGTCTTTATGCTAGTGATGTAGAATGGGGATGGAGAATAGGAGACAGAATGGGTGAGCGAAACATGCAAAGGCGATGGCCATAATCGTACAAAGGCTTCAAGTCTGTTTAATACAATGGCAAGCCTCTTATTTGTGGACAAAACAACTCTAATAAAATAGGAAACTAATACTAGTAAGAATTTAAATATAAATGCTATAGGATATTATTTAATAAAATGGTAAATTAAGCCTCTTCGTGGTAGAAAGTTGCTGCATGAGAGTTGAATTGTTGCGGCCTGATTTTTAAAAATTAATTAGGCAGAAGATCTAATTAACCTAAGCGTAATTTGTTACCCAAAAACCATTGTTTTGCCTTATTAATTACTTAGCCCTATTTCCAATCTTTATTTCCTTGTTGTCTCGGGAAATGTATTCAAATCTGCTCCGTATATAAAAATAAAGGGGCAAATTACCCACAAGTCCTTTTTGAAAAGTATGTATTTTATTTAATCCCAAAACCTTTTAGATAGACCCAAAAATCTTATGCCCATTTATCTCTTCTCTTTCCCCACACCTTGCTTCTCCTCTCTATCTCTATTTCTCTGATATTGGCGACGACTACAACCACGCCTTCCTTTTTTCTTTCTTCTTCTAATCGATAGTCATCGGCGACGGGCAGCCACCATTGATTGGGGTTCACCAGGAACCACCGAGTACCAACTCCTAAGAGATGAGTTTCCGACGAAGAAGGTGAGTAGATCTACTCAAATCTGAGTAGATCTACATTAAATCCGGCTAGATCTAACCAAAAAATAGTTTTCGGAGTACAAACATCTCTCTATATTTGTCTCTTTCCTTTGATCTCTCAGTTTTTATATTTTTATATTTTTTTTTATACTACACACTTCTATTTTCTTATTATAATATAGAACATTTTCAACTTTTGAACATGTTATTTTCGAATTTTAGTTACAAGAGGTGAAAACGGCAAAAGTTTACAATTTTAGTTTTTTGGGTGCTGAAATAAATCATTCTTTACAACTGCAAAATTTTGTGGTTTCATAACTTTCTTTAGAACTGTAAAATTTTGTAGTTTCATAACATGTTTTCCAGTTTGATTAATAAGGATAAATACTTAATAGAATCATACTTTGAAATTGTAACATTTTACAGTTTCAAAGCTTGTTTTTCAGTTTGATCAATATTGGAGATTATTTGTTTAAACCCTACAAAAATTGAAATAACATATGTTTTTTTCCATTGTTGCTGTTTGTTGTTCTTAGGTTTTTTCTCCTTTTAGTTTATCAATATTTAGCACATCTTGCTATATTTTTTCGTTTTAATTTCTCAGTTTATTCTTTTTTTTAGCAATATTCTGGATATTCCAGTGAGCCTTCGGCGATATTCTTGACGTCCAGTGAACATTCTAGATATTCTGACAACTTCCGGTGATGTTTAGAACATTTGGCGACACTACGGCGAATTTTTAGTGATATTCCGGTGACTTCCTGATGATGTTGAACATTTCAACGAATCTCCGATGATTGTCTGACGGAAATCCGGCAGTGATGGGATGTAGCAGTGTCTTTAAATTTTTTTAAATAGAAAAGAAGATTTTTTGATAACAATTAAAAATATATAGGACTAATTGGTTCAAGTGTTTTGTTTTGGGACAAGATGAGTTTTGAACTTTGTGTATGAGACTTATCAGTAAATTCCCCAAAATAAAGAAAAGAGGCCCAAAACAAATGCGGAATGGCATCTGGGCCTCACAAAGTCCTTAGAAACTATTAAAAGGTGTTGGTTTGCCAAAAATGTGCTTTTAAAAGGTCTTTACGGACCAAAACGACACAATTCAATAATCCAGGCAGATTAGTCCAAGTAAAAAGCGAATAACTGAAATCCAACAACATCCAAAATGCACACAAAACAATATAATACAACACAATATATATCTGATATCTCAAATATCAATGTATACTACAGGTCCTACACATTCGGTGCTCCCGGTAGACATATCAACCAAATACTCAAGGAGTCCTAGTTTCCTAATACCATGTCCAGGTTCCCGAACTCTAACTAGTAGGCAGCATCGTGGTCTATGCAAAGCTTACCGGGCCATACTGGCCTACTGGCCTAACAAACAGCGGCCATGGCCCAATCATATTTCAATAAAAATATCGGGGCCCATGGAGAAATCATAAATTCACATAATGTAAACTCAATAGTCTTATTAGGGAGCTTCTGTTTACCTAATGAATTTGATTCATTACACCCCTCGTTTAAAAGAGTGTTTCTATTAGCACCCTATTTATTATTTTGGATCTATCATTTCTTTGAAACCACGCTTATAAATTTCAAAACCTTTAAAATTTTTCTCCTTCCCCCAAATAATACCAAAATTATCGTTCTAGAAACTTCACACCCACTAAAATGCACACCTCTCAGCACACCCTATCAAAATTATCTTTCTAAAAATCATTCATCTCCCAAAACCCTAAAGTTCAAATCAAAAGTTTACCGTGGCGATCTCCCTGTCGATCATGTTTCTCACTGTCACGGTGGTATCTCTCTTGCTCTTTACAGATTTTTCTTTCTCTCTCTAGAGTTCTTGATCTAAAACCCATCTTCCTTGCACTCTTCCTTGCAAGATTTGAGATGGGTATTTAAAAAAAATAGCCGTTAGAGGCTTTGCTAGTTGGCATTTGGGTTTCAAACTTCCATGGAAATTGAAAAGAATGTTCGTCAGCACCCCGAAATATATAACAATATAGATTAAATTTAAGAATGCGATCTATAAATAGGTCCGAACATATGAATAATGTTTGGTTATCCGTTGTCGATCTAATATCTTTAATTTGGCCATGTGTTGCCATTTTTTTGACCTGGACAAACTAACTGATGTCCGTATAGATGTTGATGTCATGATGACATCATCATACGGAAGATGATGTCAGCATGTCTAGGTCACCGTTTGAAAAAAATTTAGACTTCAACAAGACAAGCTATTGTAAGATCGAAGTGCTCTAATACCAAGTTGAAGTGTAAAGTTTACGAAATTAGGGTTAGGGTTGGAGTGGAAAGAGAGAAGAGAAGAGGAGAAGAGAGAATATAGAGGATAGGTTATTGGGTCATAATGAAAACCCTCACCTAACATATATTTATATTAAAACATTATTGTCACTATGACAATAATACCCTCAATATAAAATAAAAACAACGCCCAATTAATACACATTAATGTGTGTTTGGGAGGGGAAAGATTGAGTATACACTTAACCTTTAGCATAATGCACAAAGTAGTGGTTTCAAGACTTGAACCCATAACCTCAAGGTTATTAGGCCAAGTCTTAACCATTGAACCAATGGTCACCCCTTTAAAAACAAGGCCCAATTAGTACACATTAATAAGTATTTGGGAGGGGAAAGATTGAGTGCATACCTAACTTTTAGCATAATGCACAAAGTGATGGTCCCAAGACTTGAACCCATAACCTCAAGGTTATTAGGCCAAGTCTTAACCATTGAACCAATGGTCACCCCTTTAAAAACAAGGCCCAATTAGTACACATTAATAAGTATTTGGGAGGGGAAAGATTGAGTGCATACCTAACTTTTAGCATAATGCACAAAGTGATGGTCCCAAGACTTGAACCCATAACCTCAAGGTTATTAGGCCAAGTCTTAACCATTGAACCAATGGTCACCCCTTTAAAAACAAGGCCCAATTAGTACACATTAATAAGTATTTGGGAGGGGAAAGATTGAGTGCATACCTAACTTTTAGCATAATGCACAAAGTGATGGTCCCAAGACTTGAACCCATAACCTCAAGGTTATTAGGCCAAGTCTTAACCATTGAACCAATGGTCACCCCTTTAAAAACAAGGCCCAATTAGTACACATTAATAAGTATTTGGGAGGGGAAAGATTGAGTGCATACCTAACTTTTAGCATAATGCACAAAGTGATGGTCCCAAGACTTGAACCCATAACCTCAAGGTTATTAGGCCAAGTCTTAACCATTGAACCAATGGTCACCCCTTTAAAAACAAGGCCCAATTAGTACACATTAATAAGTATTTGGGAGGGGAAAGATTGAGTGCATACCTAACTTTTAGCATAATGCACAAAGTGATGGTCCCAAGACTTGAACCCATAACCTCAAGGTTATTAGGCCAAGTCTTAACCATTGAACCAATGGTCACCCCTTTAAAAACAAGGCCCAATTAGTACACATTAATAAGTATTTGGGAGGGGAAAGATTGAGTGCATACCTAACTTTTAGCATAATGCACAAAGTGATGGTCCCAAGACTTGAACCCATAACCTCAAGGTTATTAGGCCAAGTCTTAACCATTGAACCAATGGTCACCCCTGT